ACACAATGGAATACTATGCAACACTGAAGAGTACTGTAGAATTTGTGAAATACTGCATAACATGGATGAACTTGGAAGAAATTATGCTGAGTGAAATAAGTCAATCACAGAACAAATATTGTATGAGTTCACTATTATAAAAAGTCAAGGCAAGGTTTATATATGTAAAGAAACTTTCTTTGTTGGTTACCAGGAATGGGAGGGGAGGGAACACTGCTAGATAGGTAGAAACAAGAATTGATTTGGGTGAAGAGAAAGGTGATGTGCCAAAAGTGAATGATCAACAAGGTGGCACTGAGGAAGAATAAGACATAGAGAGGTACACAGGAGGTACAGACAACAAAGATAAACTCTTTGGCAATGTACAGTACTGCGCTGTCAGTGATGGCAAGCACTGATTTACGGGTGGATAGATGAGTGGACAGCCGAACAATGAGGTATGTCTAGGCAGGGGGGACTGTGCCCATGACTATGTATAGGGTTGCCAGACAATGTTTCCATGTGAGTATTTGTATGTGCTCTAAGAATGTCCAGGGACAAGGTTGTGGTGGCTTCTTGGCGATAGTCAGCTACCCAGAGGGAGTGAGTAGTTGGACCTCTGGACTCGGAACCATGGTTGCAGGGGACATCAAGCTCAATTGGCATAACATACTACACAAAAACATTATTCTACATCCTACTTTGGTAAGTAGTGACTGGGATCTTAAAAACTTCCAAGCGGTCAACTAGATACAATGATGCATCTCTCCTTATCTGGAGCAAAGAAGAATGAAGAAAACCAAATACACATGGAAACAATTAGTCCAAGGGACTGGTAGACCATGTGATCCTCAGCCTATATGACCATGAGACCAGAAGAACAATATTGTACCCAGCTACCACTGTTAACCACTGTTAACTCAGAGGGGGATTGGTGCAGGAGATCCTGGATAGAGTGGGAGAACAATGTGGAACAAAACTCAAAATCACACACACACACACAAAAGACCAGGTTTGCTGGTCTGATGGAGCTTGGTGAGACCCCTGAGACTATGGCCCCTAGTTACCCTTCAGGTCTGGAACTGAACTGACTCCTTTGGCTTCTAGCCAAATAATAAACAGGCATATGGGGTAAACATTTACATCAGGTAGATACATTCCTTGGAGCAATCAATTGTGGGAGAATAGAAAGGCAGTGTTTGCACAAGGAGACAGCTTGAGGGGACAGGAGTGAATAAGAGGGAAGGACACAGGGAAGGAGTAACTACAGGGAGGAATTGGGAAGGGAGCTATTACATTGTGGAGAATTGCAGTCAATGTTAGGAAACAAAATATGTATGAACTGCTATATGGAAAATGAATGAATTTGCTCTGAAAACTTTCACCCAGATCACAATAAAAATGGAAAAAAAAAAAAAAAAAGGACTCTAGAAAGACATAACATGTGAAATGAATAGAATGCCTTTCATGTACACAAACCATTGGGCTCTGTAGATGATTTAGATGTGGTTCCCTTAAAGAACCCATGTTGTTGTTGTTGTTATGTGCCGTCGAGTCAGCCCTAACCCATAGCGACCCCTCCTTGGGTTTCCGAGGTAGTATCACTACGGAAGTAGATTGCCCCATCTTCCTTCCAAGGAGTGGTGGTGGGTTTGAACCACCAGTCTTCTGGTTAGCAGTCAAGTGCCTTAGGCACTATGCTACCAGAGCTCCCTCAAAGAACCCATAGCTAGATGAAATCATAATAGACTGGGTAAAATGGCAAAAGCAATCATCTACCATGAAGCAGACATCCCTGGGTTCATTCAGACCCTATCTTAAAACAGGTATAATACACCTTGGGGATGATAACTTTGGCTGGAGGTGTGAGGGGATTCTAAGTTCTTTGGAAATTTTTGGTTTTGAGGGATGAGCCAATGTGTAGTGAATAAGATCCAGCATGGACAAAACAAAAAATCAACACCTTGAATTTCACCCTGGGCTCAAAGAAAAGAACAAAGCAGACCTGCCAACTTTTTATTGCAGAAGCAGTCTGCCACATCTCTCTCATGGAGCGGCTGGTGGACTGCTGACCTTTTGGTTACCAGTCAAGCTACTAACCACTGAGCTACAAGGACTCTTTTTGCCAGGCCTGGTGGATCTCAAAAATATGCTACCTAGACCTGCAACATAAGTATCTCCAGAGACCTTGATAGAAATACAAATACAAATCCTTGGACTTCACCTCTCACCTACTGAATCAGAAACTTGAGGGTTGGACCCAGAGATGGCTTTAACAAGACTCTTGGTGATTCCAATGCACACTAACAGTTAAGAGCTACTGGTCTAGGCCATTCACCCACATAGGAAAGAACACAGCTGGTCAGGACTGATACTGGATTCAAAATGAAGAATGTGCAATTAATTAGAGCTTTCAGTGTGAAAAAAAAAAAAATGAGGAAGAACAGAAAACAGAAAAGAAACAGGCTGAGTTCAATCAAACATTTCAGAAACCTAATCACAGGCAGGTGGTGTATTCTACAGTTGGGTTTAAGCAGCAGTTCCTCACATCTCTGGAGCAATAACTTTTCCCTTTTGAAATGTAAATACTGGTAAGAGAATTAAAAATCTAGTTGCTTAACATCTGACTCTCACCAATTTTCTCAGCTCCTGAAAGCAAATTAGAAAAACACCTAAATGTAGAGGTTAGAATTCATTGAACATTAGTTTGTACTTTCCATTTTTAACGAAGATGACTTTGGTGGTGGTAAACCTGCCTATCCAAGCTTGTGTGTGTCTGTAAATATAAACCATTAACTATTTTTTCATGTCTAAGAGGTCTAAATAAGGGTTAAGCTGTCCCTTCATAGCTTTGTGATTCTTCAGGCCCAAATATTTGAAACAGGAAAATTAAATCTATTAGAAACACCCCTTAGCATATAGCTGTTTTGTTCTTATGTGGAGGGAAAGTCAGCCTAGGAAGATTAAGGCCGTCTCCTCACACTTGTCTTTGTTGGACAAAGGAGGAATTGTGAACAAGTAAGTATCCTCACCACCATGCCTGCTCTAAAGTAGCACTAAGATAATTTCTGAGAAACTAAATCAGGACCCTCTTTACTTCAATTGTAAAGAGATTCCCAAGAAGAAAATAGCCTGCTATTAGTTCTGGGCATGTTATTCTGACAAATGTTCTTACGAAAGCCAGATTTACTGGTCTGCTAGAGACTGGTGGAACCCCCAATGACATTGTGGCCTTTAGATACACTTCAAGCCTAGAATTGTACTCACCCCAAAGGTTGACTTTCAGCCAAACAATAGACTGGCCTATGAGGTGAACAATAACACCAAGGAGGAATGTACTCCTCAGAACAATCAACCATGTGAGACCAAAAGGGCAGCATTTAACCAAAACAAAACTCAGAAGGCAGGAAAGGGCAGGAAAGAAGGATAAATGGAAATGAAAAACATAAGGATGATGTGAGAAGAGTGCCGTTACATTGTGGGGATTACAATCAATGTCACGAAATAAAATGTGTATAAATTGTTGAATGGAAAACTGATTCGCTCTGTAAACTTTCACCCAAATCACAATAAAAACTTGGGGAAAAGAAAAAGAAAATATGACCTGAAGGTTAATGGGTTTTATGAAGAAACAAGCAGCCAGTGAAAAAATAAACCCTTTCAAATGCAAAAAGAGAGAGAGAGAGATTATTGGGAGTTGGCACAAGTGTGCTTCACTTTACAAAATCTCAACTTTACAGAAAAAGGGAAAATCGTACAAAATATATTTTCATTATGATAAGAATTCATTACTCACCCTTGGCACATTGGAGATAACATAAAATGCCAAGATTTAATTCACACTCAATTTTTCTGGAATTAAAATGATTGGAAAAATTAACCTATCATTAAAAGACAAAATTCATGCCTACCATTAAAGCAATATCACTGATTAAACCCAAAAGGAAGTGAGGACAACAGAATAGTTCTTTATAAGAGTTTTGTTTACCACTTCACTCTCAAAGACAGACGTTTCCTTTTGTTGTTGTTGTTCAACATATTAATGGTATACTTACACTCAATTTTTTTTTGTAGTGAAATTTACTTTTTATTCATATTTCAATGCTACAGATTTTACATTTCACGGTTGCTATCCAGTACAAAACTTTCCTGATATCTGAGATATGGGGTTAAATAACTATCTTTTAAAATGAACATGAGTAAATATAAAATTTTAAAAGATAATTATTTAACCTCATATCTCAGATATCAGGAAAGTTTTGTACTGGGTAGCAACTGTGAAATGTAAAATGTAAAATCTGTAGCATTGAAATTTCTTTTTCCTTGCTACCAACATTATCTATAAATCCATTTTTATCTGATGAATTGTTGTCAAAACAACGTTGAAGTCAGGTTATCAATTACTTCTTTCCCTGATTTAAAATACACTAAGTGTTATACTCTGGTAGCATAGTGGCTAAGACACTTGCCTGCTAACCAGACGGCTGGCGGTTCAAACTCACCAGCCACTCCTCGGAAGGAAGGTTGGGCAATCCTACTTCCGTAGTGGTACTGCCTTGGAAACCCAAGGAGGGGTCGCTATGAGTCGGGGCCGACTCGACAGCACATAACAACAACAACAACAAGTGATATACGTTCAGGGCATTGAGTAAGTGACCACTTTCCTCATAGAGTAACCTCAACATTTCTTCTTAGTGTTTCTCAGACTCCTGTTCTGAATTTAAACTCTCCATTAAACTTAGCTATTATCATTTCAAAACATTCAAGTGAAAACTCAAAAATGCTTGGAAAGAAGTACTCATTGGTTACTATATAAATAAGAAAAATAAATAAATAAAATTCCAGTTAATTATGTATTTTTCTTGGGTTCAAAGCTCAAGTCAACTATCAATTACATAATTGTATACTATTACTTGTGTTATACATATAAAAATGTTCTATTTATTAGTAATGAGCTATAAAGGAGAACCACGTGTGATTCAGGGGATCTTATTAAAGAAAGAAAAGAGCTTTTTACCAACCTGGGCTGAGAAACCACAGAAGAAACCAAACCAGAAATGCACAAGTGTGAACGCAAAATTCTTATAGAAGAAATAACATAAGAATTTGCACATTCGGAAATAGGACCACCTTCCATGAACAAGGAGCAGCCTTTGGAGGTATCTAAACTGTGCAAACGAATAGTCACTGGCCAAGACTGCCTGCAGTCCTTCCTGGCCGCTGATCCCAATGCCAATGTGTGCACCTACAAAGAAAAGGAGGGACACTTTCATTCCCAAAACAAGGACACAATCTCTTTTGGGAGCATGTTATTCCTCTTTTGCTATTATTTATTTATGGAAACCTTACAGCTATAAACAGTTATAGTTTTTTCACATCTACTATATCATGAAACACTCATGATAGTTAGGTATTTATCATAGGAGGAAATTAAGCTCAGAAATGTTCAGTAATTTATGTAAGTTCTAGAATTTGTAAATGACAAATCTAGGACTAAATTTAAGTCTTGTGACTCTGGATCCTTGGTTTCCTCTACACCTTAGGGACTTACTTCCCCAAACTGTATAAGGTCACCAGTGTCCTGTGCTAACCTGAAAACACACAGATAGTTTAATTAAAGACAAAGAAAGATTTTGTTAAATCCTAATAATTATCAACATGTTAGACTCAGAAAGTATCATTGATTTTAGAACCACTGGCAAAGTTAATTTTAATGCAATCTCTGTGACATATTACCAAAGGCTAGACTTAAGGATATCATATATGCAGGATGCCCCACTGAGCAAATATTCTCTTACTTTTGATCATGCTGACATCATTGGCTCCATCACCGATGGCTAAAGTGACAGCATTTTTGTGTTTCTTCACCAGCTCTACTACTTGTGCTTTCTGGAGAGGGGTGACTCGGCAGCACACCACTGTCTTACACATGCAGGCAAGTTCTAGAAGATCATTCTTGATATCACTTTCTAGGGCATGAGCCTATGTTATTATATATAAAAAAGAAATTCCAGAAAGGATCAGGAAACAACGAATGAGAGATATAATTGGCAAAGCAAATTTCCTGTTTCTCAACTAATTCTTTCTATACAGTTTAATTCATTTTAACAAGTCATTATTCACTTGGACTGCACATGGCAAACAAATTGACTAAAGAAATGACTATGGAACACTTATTAAATGCCAAGGAATTAAAAAAGAAGAAGAAGAAGACAGCACTTTTGTGTGTCCTCCCTGATACATTATCATGCTTCATTGGTGAGATACAGGTAAATGCTAGAGAAGTTCTAGAAACTGCTAAAATTAATGAAAGTAATGTCACCAAACTTAAAATGAGTGACAAAATGATGGTGATTTGTTTTTTCTACTTGATAGAATTTTTATTTCCTTTGCATTGTTGTTCTATATATTTGTTTTTTGTTGTAGTGGTGCTTAATGCTTGACCAAGATGAAAACCATATAATCTGGAGAACGGCATTAAAAGAACTTAAACTCAAACCAAACCAAATTTACTGCCATTGAGTCAATTCCAACTCACAGCAACCCCCATTGAGTTTCCAAGGCAGTAAATCTTTACAGAAGTAGATTGCCCAGTGTTCCTTCTGCAGAGTGGCTGGTGGGTGTGAACCACCAACCTTCTGGTTAACAGTCTGATTCCTTAGGCACTGTGTTACCAGAGCTCCTTAAAATAACTTAGTGACTGAAAAAAGAAAAAAGAATTTAGTGACTGAAGTCAAGATATGCCTGTGCAAAGGGTGGTGTGTAATCTGTATCTTGGACAGGGTCTCCTGATCATCTTTACCCTTAGTTACCTCCAAATACATAAGAGACTTTAAATCTACCAAAAATTGCTATAAAAAAGAATATATTCATTTCTAATTAAGTGTAGGAAGGTTGGGCAATCCTACTTCCGTAGTGATACTGCCTCGGAAACCCAAGGAGGGGTCACTATGAGTCGGGACCGACTCGACGGCACACAACAACAACAACAACAACAACAATTAAGTGTATGATTTTTCTTGTAGAAAACATGTACATTATTTAATAAACTTATTAAGAAGAAAGAAATCCATCTAAACACAAGAGTCATTGATATCTTTGAGTGAATCTTGCACTAATCAGTGAGGAACTTTTGATTTGCATTTGTTATACCTTTGTGTAATTATCTCTCCTACTAGAGAGATATTAATGTTCTTATCTCTGTATCCCACCTGCACTCATATTCCTAGATTATAGTACTTGGGCCAGAGATGCTTAATAAATGTTAATGGGATGAAGGGAAGGATGGACAGATGGATATAAAAATGTTCTGGTATAGAAAATTCTCATGTATAAGCCTGTAATTCCTAAAGGGAGATATTAATTTAGCATTCTCAAATATAATCTCCCTTTCTGAAAGAGGAAGCATGTATCTATCTGTCTTGCCTAAAATTGTCCCCCTTTTTCTTTATTCTTATTACCAACAAATGAAAAAGCAGACTGGAATTCTAAAACAAAAAGTCCCGATTACATTTTGCGAGGAATAAAGATTTGAGCAAATTGAAATCATGATTGCTTTGTAGAAAGCATATGGCTATACTAGCAGAAATATGATCAAATCATCTTAAATGAAAATTGACATTAAATGGTCTCATGAGGTCCTTCTTTCAACTTATTCAGAGATAGAGAAGAGTGAATATAATCACCCAACTATTCCAATCTCACCACACATTGGCTTCTTTGAGACTGAGAGAAACTCAAATCAGAACTTACTAGGGACCCTTTCCACATTGCGTTCCCTGGGAAATTCAGCATGGAGGATACCAGCTCCAAGTCCCAGTTGGGAGGCTTATAATTTTCAGTTGGTGCTCATCTATGCAAGGGAGAAGAGGTTTGTGTCATCTGGACAACCTTTCAACTGAGCTTGGCCTGCAGCTGAGCTCTGTAACTTTCCATGGTGTAGAAGGCAACACATCATTACGTCTGGAATCCAGCTGGATAATGCTCTAAGCAGTAAGAGCTAACAGATAGCTGATCACAAGGGGCAAAATACAGTATACTCAAATCCAATTTCTTTTGTCCTCTAAGAAACTGTCTAAAAGAAGATTCACTTATTTTCCAGACTCTGAAAGTGAAAAATGATCATCAAAGCCAGAGAAAGATGCAAGATTAGCTGTTTGTGCATATAAACGCTCATTTCAGTGAAGTGCAATTGGAGCTTTTGCCTTTTAAATTAGAAATTCAAAGGAGTGTTTTGATATTTGTTCAAGATTTGGAACCTGAACTACATTAAAAGTGCAATGCAAGTTTATTCTGTTATGACAAGAACCAGATTTCCTAATCAAAGCAAATTGTTTGACTTTGCTGTAAAATGCTGCTATTTAGAAAACCCACTAGAGGTATCTTAATGGCAATAATTTGGTGTGGTAATTATATGAAGGTCAAGTTGTGCTCTGTAAATCACACACATTAGCAAGAGCAATGATTACAATACATCCATCCAGTTGCATTATTTTAATTAAACAACAGTGAGCTGTGACACTCCCCCTTTAAGAAAAATACTTAAATCATAGTGCTAATTGTTCTACAGTGATTTAGACAAGATTGATAATCTGAGAATTCAGTATTTCCCTGGAGCCTCCCCTTCACTGTGCAGTTCAAACAATAATGTATGAAATATGTATTAGACGTTTCCCTTCCTTTTGCAATAGGAAATCATTGTGAAAGCCGTATTTCTACTAGTATCGTTTGTTTGGAAAACTCAAAGGAGGTTTCATTATGACAGCACAATAGAGACAATTATTGAGGTGAAGAAGAAGAAAGAACTAAAGCCTTAAGCAAACTCACCAAACTGTGGCCATTTATAATTAAGGCATAATCTCCTGTTGTGGTTTCTTCTATAATTGAGTCCAGTTTCAGCTGCTCCTTTTTTTCACAAACTACATGGCCATTGGAAAAACTTGTGCTTTGTCCAAATAAATTTCCCTTTGCTTTCCTTCAAGGAGGAGAGGAAAAGCAAATCATAACAAAGTATACAGGGCATTACCTATTAACTCTAACAAGAGAGTAACCTGAGGTAAATTCATTTCATCACTATTAAGACAGACTATGGCATAAGATCCAATTTCAGTAAGCTAGCTGGATAATTCTTCATGATGGGGATACCATAGCAAATTTCCAAATTCCAGGAAATAGGAGGGTAAACATAACAAAAACAGAATCATCTTGAACGTTTCAAATTACCTAAAAGCTAAATCACCATAGTGAGCCGGGATTGAATGAGGGGCTCTTAATAAATTTGGTACATAAGGCTTTCTGAGCTTCAAAGACTTAAGAAACACGATTATGGCATGTAGTATTGTTAAATAATGGAACATGAAAGACTAAAGAAAATGAAAGAAATCTAGGAATTCCAGCCATCTATATATAAAATAAATTCATCAATTTGCAAACCAATGTAGTATGAGTCTGCTTAAAACAGTCCACTGAGAAGTTCATTTCTTTAAAATGTTAATAAAAATAAATGATGATATTTACTAAATCGACACAGTCATTATAATATAATATTTTAAGCAAAACTTATACTCATCAGTTTAAACAATAGACTAAGTCTTCTGAGAAAGACACTACAGACACCAAAATGTAGTGTCATCCCAAATGGAAAATCCCTCCAAATTCCCTAATCTAATTAGTATTGGCTGTGGAGCAATCCTGCCCACATCCCACCCTTCGCTGCTGTTTAAGAGTACAATATTATGGTGACACAACAGCCTTGGAAGGGGCATTGTACTGTTCCCTTCAAATTGGAAAGATGCTGTCTTTAAAGGAGAGCAAATTTCCTCTCTGAGGGCTCTTGGCTTCGGGGTGAATGTATAACAGGCTTCGAAGTAGCACAGTGCAAGTTGATTTGACTGCAGTAGTTTCAACCACAACTAGAGAGTTATGCAGCAGAAGACTTAGCACACCCAAGCTCCCTGACGGCAGGTACCCAAGCCAGCCACTAACACTTTAGGCCACAACTTAACATATACAAAAACAAGCATCCATGAGAAAATGGGGAGTCAGAGATAAACCAAAAGCAAAATGAATGCTTTGGCTTATAGCAAAATGAAATGGTTCCCCAAAGGCTCATTGTATGTAGAAAACCTGTATGAAAATGGTTTAATGTTGAGAATCCTCTGAAAGAAGAGAATGTTTGCTGTAAAAACAACCATTTTAGCCCTCAGCTTTCTAATTATTTGAAATGTATCACTAATTATTTACATACTAAGTGGAAAAAAAAATATATATATATATCTTTCTGGCTCAACATCTCCTTCTGCTGTCCAGGACCAAAATGACAGCCTGCCTGTAGGAACCCAGAGGTGACAGGCCCTTTCTCCAAGAATGATATCATGCATCTAGCAGTTTGCAAAATCAAAGAAAAAGATTTATAAATTCAGAGTGATACGTGTGAAATTTAGGGAGTTAGCATAGGGAGGAGGCAGAGTAGACATGAAAAATCATTGTTGTAAGTGGGAGGATCAGACTTTTGCGTGAGATAATCATGTCAGGGACTCACTCTCAAAGTCACGAAAATTTACAGTCCCGTATAACAAAGAAAGGAAGGGAGATGAGTTCCTTAGAGATGAATATTTCTTCATTTCTCTGTCAAGGCTGCAGATCCCACTAATTGGGTCTTAAGAAAGCACCAAAGGGAAAACATCTCATGAGGTTTCCTTTTTAGTAAAGTTCTCACTCATGCTGTATAAATGACTAAATCTCTGTTTTCCCCCCAGAGAATGAAAACATTCCAAAGAAGGGTGAAGTTCATGAAAGTACTGGCTGAAGTTCTATTTACTTAGGATTTTTTTCTCCCTAAACTTTCTTCTGAACATCTCACATGAACCCTTTTCCAAGCTGAAAAGGCACAGTTTCTCTGGCTCTGCTTAAATTCCCACTGTACCATCCCCCACACGAGGCCAATGTATCTTCATTAGTTAGGGCTCCCACATTTTCAGACCTTTGCTCATACTCTATAGCAGTCATTCCTTTCACTTTCTGGAACTTAGCTCTTCAAATATCAGCTGGTTCTCACCAAAAAGCAATTTATTAGTGGGGAAAAAGCTACACATAACTCCCTTCAATAAATACGAACTATACATCTTTGCAAGCATCACACACAATGCTTAACCACAGAATACCAATAACAAATGCTAAAACAAAAGAGTGCCTGTTTTTTCCAAGCTCTGTAATGAAGTGCAGTTTATTACAATGTTGGCATGTACAGATGCATTAATGGTTGAGGCGACGGCGGCATTCGCAGCCCTATGCCACCACAAACATAGCAAAGAACAGTCAGCCCATGTTGGCTTGCATGCAATGTATGGAGAAGAAAAGAGATGGTAGGAAAAGAGCCTTTTTGTCAACATTATTAAGGCATTATATATTCAAATACTGAAAGGACCTGTTAAGAAATGGACTGAAACCATGACATCATGTTTAAATGAAGACAACTTTGGCTTTGGTACAAGGGCTACACCATTAGACTTGGAATCTGGAGACCCCGGTTCAAGTCCAAGTCTTGCCTCTGACACCTCCTATAAACAACAACAGAAAAAAACAACTACCATCAAGTTCCCAAGGTTGTAAATCTTTACAGAAGCAGACTGCCTCATCTTTCTGCCACAGAGTGGCTGTTGCCGTTATGTGCCGTCATGTCGGACCTGACTCATTGCGACCCCTCATAGGGGCCCCTCCGTGGGTTTCTGAGGCAGTATCACTACGGAAGTAGATTGCCCACCCTTCCTTCCAAGGAGTGGCTAGTGGGTATGAACGACCAGGCTTATGGTTAGCAGTCAAGTGCCTTCCTTGGGCACTATGCTACCAGAGCTCCCACAGAGTGGCTTGTTGTTTTTGTTGTTATGTGCCGTCGAGCCAGACCCGACTCATAGCGACCCCTCCTTGGATTTCAGAGGCAGTGTCACTACGGAAGTAGTGGGTTTGAATTGCCGCCCTCTCAGTTAACAGTCTAGGAGCTCTGGTAGCATAGTGCCTAAGGCACTTGACTGCTAACCAGAAGGCTGGCAGTTCAAACCCACCAGCCACTCCT